GGTTCTTTAAACATTACACTGAACTGCTAAATGTTATCTTAAATAGTAAAAGAAATCTCAGTTCCCCTTTTAAAACTTAGCAACAACTCCTTCTCCACATATTTTTTTAATTCCCCCCATATACAAGTGGTCCTCAACTTACAATAGTGCATTTAGTGACCGTTCAAAGTTACAACGGCAATGAAAAAAGTGACTGATTACTGTTTTTCATCAATCTGCAGCATTCCCATGACCATGTGATCTAAATTCAGACACTCATATTTATGATGGTTGCAGTGTCCCGAGGTCACATGATCCCCTTTTGTGACCTTCTGACAAGCAAAGGAAAAGGGGAAAACAGAGTCACTTAACAAACATGTTACCAACTTAATACCTGCAGTGATTCACTTATGGCAAGAAAAGTCGCAAAATGGGGCAAAACTCAATTAACAAAATGTCTCATTTAGAAACATAAATTTTGGGTTCAATTGTGGTTGTAAGTCAAGGACTACCTGTAGTGTGGCCTCATTCTCATTGTATCGCTATGCTATGGCCTTTATCTTCCCCCTCAAATTTTAAGCGGGGACTCCAACCATCAAAACGTTGCCCAATATATCATATTTTGTTAAAAAATTCACATTTCTTGTAGTTTCCCCACATTTTCCACAACAGTGGAAAAAGTATAATGAGCCATTTCAGGTCAGCAGAATCAAAATCCAGAAGATTTTGGTTGTGTTACTTTTAACATGAAACAATATTCCAAGCAATTCCTGTGTGGTGAATCAGGAAAGGCAAGGATGTCATTCTCTCCCTTCAGGATCTCCATATCCCTCCAGTCCTATTTTGCCTGCTGCCTTCACTTCCCTCTTTTCTTTCAGCTATGATTGCTGCTGATGTCCTTAAGCTGAGTATTCTAGCTTTCCCATAACCATGCACTTCCCTGCCTCCCCTCGGCCTCTGCTTATGCCATTGGCTTTATCCAATTCTTTCCCCCCATCAATTTCTGCCTGGAACAACAACATTTTAGTTTGTAACTAAATGAAAAAATATTTTCAGATCAGATCAAAACATCTAAAACAGTATTTTGTTAAAACACTCTTTCCAAAATAGTTGTTTATGCACATAAGTATGCACATCTGCATATCTTTGGTGATAACTATTGCTTCTTTCTTGATTTTCCCTGTAAATTAAAATCTTGTATGATTTTAACTTTTCTTTTATTGCAGATTCAAGACGGCAACTGGCACAAAACCCAGTTTTTTTTCCACACTCAAGACACAAATCAACTACCAGTTGTTCAGGTTCATCCATTTTCTCATCTCAATCAGGGACAACAGCGATACATAGAAAGTGGCTTGGTGTGCTTTCTCTAGGATTTTGACTAAACCTCTTCATATCGCCATACACAGAACACAAGAAATAATTACAAAACTGTGGAACAATTTGTACAGCAACATGCTGGTGAATTCTTTAAAGAATCTCAGGAAGAAAAAGACTTCCTCCTATGAAGGAGAAATGGCTTTAAAAAAAACTTTTGACAACATTAATAAAATATTTAATTTTTGGTTGGTGCTTTTTATGATATTCTCTGAACCAAAGAATATGCATATATGGAAATTCTTCTTGACTTTATTATTCAGCACTGTCCACCTTAAAGAAAGATGGAAGAATGCAGTAAAATGGAGCAGTATGGTTTACGCTCCCAAATGTGCAATAGCTTATGTTATACTGACAATGAGTTACGCCGCCATAAAATCCCTTAAAACACTTTAGTTGAATGATGGTCCTTTTCGGACACAAACATCTTCACAGATGATCCACTACCTCTTTTGTGTTTCCTGTTTGTGTGGCCTGGCGCTCCATATATAACATAAAGTGTTATTTTTTCTTTACTTTTTTTTTTTTTAGGCTGTATGTGCTGGTTACATCAAAGAAACTCTTCATTGTAAAATTGTGTCTTAAAAATATTTGGTCACATAGTTCATGATAACTGAAAACATTAATTTATGTGAAAATCTTGTTTTGAAAATATTTCTGTCTGTAACATGAAATGAATGGGACAGACATATCTGGTGCTTATAAAAAGAACAGAATTTTGTACTTGTAGAAGGACTACGTACAATGATTTTTAAAGATGTTAACTTTCCAGGCAATCTATAATTATAGCTTGTGTAAATATTTTGTAACTGTTGAAAATCTTAATACAGCATATATTTAAATGGCTATTAAATTATACTCTTAAATAAGTCATTCTGGAAATGTTGTGCTTTTGTGACAAAATAGTTTATTTTTAGGAATGTAACCTCTTATAAATACTTTTTTTTTAACAAAGTTTAAATAAATATCAAGATAGTTTAATATTCTCCTTCAAAGAAAACATGCAATTTTGCTTCCCTTTAGATGGGATGGGGTGTGATAGATTTATTATCCATTTAAATAAACTTATTGCAGCATGAATCTGAAACATTTTACTAAATAGTAATGACCAGCAGAATAAATTCTAGAATGTATAACTTCAAGCAATGGGAAAGATTAAAGGTTTAAAGCATCTTTTTGACCATAGAAAGGAAACACATCTTTACACCAGTTTTCTCTAATTTTCTACTTTTTCAGACATGGTTTTACCCATTAATTCATAGATGCACTTCTACTACATGCATCCTGACCACTTGCAAATCTAGAGCAACTGCTTTATCCTTATTGGATCCACAGGGACTAGTTAGAGGGGAAAAGCACAAGTTGATTAGTCTTGCTATATATGGATGATACAGAATCAAAAATTGGTTGTTCAACATTCATTATCATTTTAAATATTAAACTTTTGTAGAGTAACCCTTTTTTACTTTTTACTAGCCAAGTATGTTCTTATTTAGTTTTCATTTATCACAAGACTTAGTTGATTTATAAAATATAAGAAATTACTTTCTTGTTCTAGAAAAAAATCTTGTCCTCTAAATACTCAGAAATCTTTGTTTTGTTATTACTATGTTTATTTAAATAATAAATAAATTACTATGTTTATTAAAATTAAGAGACAAGATGGAACTAAGTTATATGACTGTAGATATTCGAATCTGGAAATACTCATTCTGCAATTATACAAAAAATTTTACATCCTTGGATATAATGGTTCATCAGTTGATGAATTATATTATTTCACATGTTGCTCCTGAACCATTTCTGTTATTAGACCATTCTGAAACAATAATGACGATGGTGGTGGTGTGGTCTCTTGCTTGAGCAGTGGGTTGGACTAGAAGACCTCCAAGGTCCCTCCCAACTCTTATTCTTCCTGTTGAGCTTGATTACTGACTTCATGGATATAGACATACTGTTTTTCTGGCAACAATATATACCATACCCACCAACACTGGAAGGGCAAGCT